AAAGGCCGGCAGGCCAAGCTATCCTCAACTGAGGGCTCACAACTTCCATTCTTACACCGGGCCAAAGGAGAACTCCTTGTGCACCGAGGCCAAGGATGGCCATCACGGACCTTTGGCAGTGCGAGAACGTGTGTAACGGCTCAAAAGAAAAGGCAGTACATTGGCCGCTTCTGCAATGGCTTTGCGGGAACGCGGCTCCAATTCAGGGATCACAGATGAAGCTGTCACTTCTTGCAAATAGCTTTCCAACGTTATTTGGTGGCGGACCCTCATCCTCCACATGAGAAGCCGGATGTCCATCGACTCCTGAAAAGCACTGACACATCCTCCAGCTCTGAGCCCCCCAGGCGTTAACCCGGCAGATTTAGGGATAAACAGTGCTTTAAGTAGTGCGTCCCATCGTCTACGAAAGGCGGATGGTGAAGCATTGAAAATCGGCTGGTCGGCTTCTAACGGCCCAAAAACATGAAAAAGGAAATCAAAGAATTCTCTATCTCGAATCGAACTGTGCTGAACTCGTCCAGTCCCTCGATTCCTGCTTTTGGGTCGATCGACGATGAGATAGATCGACTCGCGGTCAGGCTCCAGAGCATCACCTGGAAAGACCACATGCTTCCTTAGTGCACGAAGGGGTTCACCTGGGCGGGTGATCCCTGCAAAAGCTATTACAATTATGCCAGCTGTCCTTTCCCAGTTCCACAAAAGTGCAGTGCTGACCATAGCTCTGAAAACCATCTTTGGAACAGGTGTCCGGTGCTGTGTCGGTTCTAACAGCTCCCACCTGCTGACCATGTCCCAAAGAACTGAGGTGTACAACTTGGTTTCGACAAATTCACGCTGCAGGATTAAGATCAAATGTCTCAACTGGTACAACGATCGGCCTGACGAGTAAAGGAACGAAGCATACGACTTGGCAACCTGCACCAACAATGCTGGATGTCTGAAAACACTCTGCTGTGCCCCTTCTGACAACGTGCTTTCTAGCCATTGCACAAACTGAGCAAAAATTGTACTCTGCAGTGCTGCCGTCCTTGGTTCGACCAAAAGCACGTCTTCCAGCAACTCTGTTCTGTTTTTGCGAGGTGGACCAGGTTTTGAAGCTTCACCAACACGACAGTTTGTGATCTTCGCACATGCAGCAGGGTCAAATCGACCTTCCCATGAACGTAGCCCCACCGTCAAAGCCATCGAGGCAGCAACTGCATAGGCAACGCCTGGTGGATATGGTTGAGCCACCATGGTCCAACTCTTCCGGTGGAAGGCCGAGCGCCCGCGGAGCAAGATGTGTTCATGCCCTCCGGTGCAAAGGGTCTTGTGGCCTGTTAAGAGAGTGTTGCAGACAAATCTGGTCCTCTTCCGCCATCTGCGATTGAACCGGCAATAGTCAACAACCCAGTGGCCTAACTCTGGCACTGACTGAAGAAGGTCCCAAAACGCCGGGATGCGGAACATCCAGGACGTATGCGGATTCTCCAGCCAAGCAGCGAGCCCCAACTGACATGCTCTCCGGAGCAGGTCAAAACACCAGAGCGCAAAGGAATTGCCCAGCTCTATTTTCTCTCGCATCTTCTCACTGACTTCAGGAAGGCCCATTGGATGCTCCCTGGTCCTCACCGGTGGGGTGATGGCCAAGGAAAAGCTGCTGCACACAGGTCCCATGCCAACTGCAACAAACGCTCCAGCCTCCAATGCACTCCAAATCAATGAACGAACTTTGGAATCTGCTAGATCCTCTGTAGGTGAATGTTCAATGTCAAAACACAATGCCCACCTCCTCGTTTGCTGAACCCAGCTTTCTGCTACCCCACGTGCTCCACTGAAGAGATCAAGGTATCCTGGGTCCAAAAACTCTCCTTTATCCCCGGGGGGAAAAATAAACTGATCTTTGGGCCACGAATTCAACAACTGCTGCGCCACTGGACTGAGATTGCTCTCTCTGGCACCCCCAACACGTGTGGCAGTCTGCTCTACCTTTGCGGTCTCAACGGGTCCAGCTCCAGGAGAACTTGCCGACGTAGTTGGCTGCTCATGCACTTCACGACGGACCAGCTCCTTGCCTGCGTTGAGTTCAGCAAAGGGCGGAATACCAGCTAGGTCAAATCCGTCCAACCCGTTCTCAAGCAACCATTTGTCGAACAAGTCATAATTGCCCAAACGCAGCCAATCCCACCAGACCGGAGGTTCTTTTGTCGGTTTCCTCAGGGCCACCCCTCGTGTAGGGTCGTCTGCAGGGTTGAGTGCTGAAGGAAAGAAAACACCTTCGGCGTACATGTCTTCAGCAAGCATGGTCGGCAGCGAGGAAGATAAAACATTGTTGATGGCTGATGATGAACTGCGGCCTTTCAAAAGCACAGTTAGGGCTACTTGGGAATCGATGCCATAGATCTCTCTGGTAGAAGGTCGCCTAGACGCGTGTATCTCTTCTGCTTTGAGGAATGCTTGGACTTCGCCTATGTTGATATGCCGAGGTCTGCGTTTCGCTCTCTTGAACACCAAGTTGTACTGTAGACATTCAGCAAGCGAGGACCAAATAGGATGAGGCTCAAATGCAGCTTTCCCTTCCGGCAACTCTTCAGCGACGTCCAGCATTCCCTTGCCTCTCAACCAAGCCTTAGCTGGGCCAAGGAGCCGCGCCCAGACTGACTTCCGCAAAACACTACGGTAGGTCTCCTGAGCCAGGGTGCCAGGCATGGTCGCACAGGCAGCGGCTTCTCCCCAGTCAGAGGCATCTGTAGCCGTGATCCGTTCGCTCAAACGGGCTCGCAGGTTTGTAGCCGCTAGAGGAAGAAGCACCGCTGCAAGCAAAAGATCTGACTTCGTTCGACTGTCCAACCGCACTATGGCATGGCTTGTACAACATTGGTAAGATTGAAACACTCCATCCAAAATTGACAAAAGCCGCCTGCGATAAAGAAACAACGAAATAATCGATCCAGCCAACACTTGCAGTAGAGCACCAGTAGCATAACCTAATGTAGCAACTCTGAACAGCAACCCTGCTAGTGGCACGGCACGTTTGAGAGAACCTCGG